TTTATATATTTCAATACATTATATATATTTTTCTGTTGTTATTACAGAAAAATTACTTTATATATTTATAAATGTTATATTAATAACATAATATATTAAATACACGTTTTATTAATATTAATATATTTATATAATATATTCATTTTATTTTTAGACTTAAAATCCATACTTATTAAAATAACGTAAAATGTAATGTAAAAAAAACAAACAAATAACATGATGTCATCATAACATCATAATCCTTTCAGGATGTTAATTCTTTAAGGACAAACATGTGTCTCCCCCTTTTTGTCAATTTCTCTTGTTTTTTGGTTTTCATTAGGACCGTCCTAAATGGTCAAACCTGTTTCTATGATTTTATATAGTAACCAAATGATTATTGAAAGCTGGACATTTCCAATAAATCTTTAATATTGTTAATAATATAATAACCAACTTGTAGTGTCAAGACTTAATGGCTAAATGAACTGTAGAACTGTCTTGATGCTGCCTTTATGCTCGTTCTATAGGTTCTCATGATTCCTTCAGCTTCTGGGTGGATGAGCAAGCTCCAGTCGGTCCAGACCAGAAAGCATATGTGAAGCACCTGGTTGCGATATTTCGCTTTCTGGCCAAGAAGGTGATGAAGAAGTGGTCCATGACCCAGAACCTCACCTTCAGGGAACAGCTTGAGGGAGGAATACGCTATTTCGACCTGCGTGTTTCCTCCAAACCGGGAGAACCAGGACACGAGATATACTTTATCCATGGGCTGTTTGGACACAAAGTACGTGATGGCCTTAATGACATTAACAATTTTTTGACCATACACAAGAAAGAGGTTGTTTTTTTAGACTTCAACCATCATTATGCAATGAGCGAGGAGCATCATCATTACCTAATCAAGATGCTGAAGGACGTGTTTGGTCACAAGCTCTGCAGGATTGACGTGGTGGAGGAAATTACTCTGAACTATCTGTGGGACAACAGGTACCAGGTGAGCTCAGGATGTCACAACCTATCTGATGATAATAACAATGGCTTTACATAAAGATGAAAATCTTAAATGTGATTTGGTGAAAAGAAAAAGCAGAAAAAATTGATGGAAAGTGTTGTTGGATAGATGTTTTTAGATCAATGATTAATCAGCATGATATCTAAATAAACAACTACTGTATAAAAAATACCTCTGTGAGAACTTGATATAACAGTCAGTGCCCTTTAGATAGAGGAAAAAACAGACACTCATTATGAGAGGTTGACTTTTGAACAATTTAAAACAGATTCAAGCCTTCGTCATAGCGATTAGGTGATCAGTCATACCGAAACTAATCTAACAACAGCTGTCAAAAACTGGAAAACATAACGTTTTTCCTGTTACTGAAACAAATGCTAGTTCTGTCTCACAGCGTCAAATAAACAAACTCATACATGCAAAGCTGTTTCTGGCTAGAGTTTCTGACTGCTCAAGAGTTTGAAATCAATGCAAATATTTATTTTTTTAATTGCAAGTTTGTTGTCAGAGAAATGTGTGTATCTGATCTCTATTTGCATTGGCATTAACAATGAGATATGGAAATAAGTGGATTTTTTTGTGAGGGTTTGCTTTTTACTGGAATACCAAACTTGAAGTTCTGACTGTTTTGTTACCAATTTGTTGTGTCCAGTGTTATTTTAGTGTCATTGAGATACTATTATAGTTTTTATTATACATTTTTTTTAAGGTTTTAGTCATTTTGTTCTGTGTTTAGAAGGTTTTTTTGTATTATATATATAGTTTTATTCATTTACAGTATTCCATTTTAGTTTGGTTTATTTTAGTACATCAAGTTAAACTAAATTGAAATGAGAAATGTCACATTGGCAACTAGCTGTAATAAATTATCTTTTATATCTCAGTTAACCTTTTTTTGTTTTAGTTTTAGTTTCAGTATTAGTTAGCTATTCATAGTTTTCATGTGACTTCACACCCTTACAGGGCAAAACAAGGCTTTCCTCCACTGACTGCCAGTTATTTTTACGAGGTTTGCATTAAGTATTAATGTAGTAAGACAGTGATATTTAAAGGCCAAATTCAGTATTCA